CCCTCTCTCTCTCCCTCCTTTCCCCCCTCTCTCTCTCTCTCCCTCCTTTCCCTCTCTATCTCCCCCTGTCTCTCTCTCTCTCCCTCCTTTCCCTCTCTCTCTCTCTCTCCCCTCTCTCCACCTGCAGGTGACAATGGGGTATGACATCTGTAAAGCGTCACATTGGCCTTTTCCTTGAACTGATTTTCTTTGTTTTATCATTTTTGTCTCTTAGGATTTGACAAAGCCCAATCAGAAACCATTGTGTCCGCGCTGGCCTCCCTGACAAACGCCAGTCTGGACACCGTGTACCGCGAGATGGTGACCCGGGCTCAGCAGGTAAGTGTCCTCTAATGTTATAAATAAGGGGGCGCTCCACATGACATATATTGGCCTCACCGTGTACGTTCTTACACCGGGTCAAAGAAGATATATTCACCTGATCCTTGGTCCTGCAGCAGTGACCCCTCGCCCCCCCCTCTCCTCCTCTGGTCTGGCAGGGAAAGTCCCTGGGCATCCTAATGTATAATGCAGTTGCATTCAACGTGATGACCTCACGGGTCCCTAGACTGCCAGAGGCCGGAGAGAAGAGGCTGCAGGGACCGGCGTAGCATCCCGGTAGGACCGGGGATCAGGTGAGTGTATTTTCTTCACTCCAGCCCCTGGACCAAAACAAGCAGAAAAACAACCAAGACCCGCGGCAAGGGTTCAGTTTTAGTTTGCCGGGAGTTTAATGGGTACCCAAAAGTAACTTGGACCGCCATAGCAAAAGGCTAAATCGATCCTATAAAACAGCCGACGTGTTTCGGAGGCTCCTCCTTCATCAGGGCTTCAAGACAAAACTATGGACTGTGATAGTTTGGGGAATGTAGCACAATGGTGAGCGCTAAGAGACCGCTCCTGAAGCCGACTTTAACATAAAAGGAAAGTCTTTATTCAGCATGCATTAAGAATAACAGTTCATTCAGGAGTCTCATCAGGACATTGCGTTTGGTCTCACCGACATCTTTCTGTCCCATACACTCCCCGTGTGATAGTCCCAGGACTTTACCGTCATTTCTCTGTGAATACAGTCCTCAGCACTGCTCAGCAGCTTTCCTCAGCTCCAAGCGGTTCAGTATTCACCCCTCGTAGGTCACTGTCTCTCTAGCAGGTATCTCGGGGTCCCCAAGCCTCTGGACCTCTCCAGCCTTCCTGGCCGTGTCACTTGTGCTGGCGCACGCAGCAGAGTCTGCCTGTGGTCATGTGCCTCCTGCACACCCACAGCTCTCCCCTGAGCTCTGGGCTGGCTTCCTAATGAGGCAGCTCTCAGCCACCTGATCAGCCCAGGCTGGTCATTGGCAAAACCTGGCCCCAGGACTGGAGATCTCATCCCACCCAGAGCTCTAAGAGATCTCCAGATCCCGGCTACAAATAGGAAAACCCGGAAGAATCTGAAAAGCCAAGTTCTTCCTTTATAAAATGGTTCACATTCTGGACCCTCCCAGCCCCTCTGGCTGGGTGCCAAAGTTGCCATACTACCCCGTGGCATTGCCGCAGAACATATAGGAATATAAAACCCGTATCAATGAAACCACAACATTCAAATATACGGCCTCTTTCACACCGACAGTTACGGTGCATTTTGGGATTCCTGCGGCAGGGATTCCAAATGTGTCATTTACAAGCGGTCGCAGTCCCACGTTCAAGTTAACGATCGGCTGCATTTGACAGCGGCAGCCCGCCCACACTCCGTATGTATGTGATACTATTACATGTACAGTATGTGTATATATATAATGTATCTCACAGAAGTAAGTACACCCCTCACATTTGTGTAAATATATGATGATATCATTTCATGTGACGACACAGAAGAAATTACACTTCAATGTAAAGTAGTGAGTGTACAGCTTGTATATCAGTGTACATTTGCTGTCCCCTCATAATAACTCAACACACAGCCATTAATGTCTAAACAGCTGGCAACAAAAGTGAGTACACCCGTAAGTGAAAATGTCCACATTGGGCCCAATGAGCCCTTTTTCCTTCCCGGTGTCATGTGACTCGCAAGGTCTCTAACATCCACCAGCTCCGTGATGTCGTCATGGGGGAGGGGAAGAGGACTCCAGTGGCAACCTGTGCAGCTCTGGTGAACTCCATGCCCAAGAGGGTTAATTTCCTGATACCGGAAGTATCGGGAAGCCAGGCTGCCTAGCAAAAAGTGAAGCCGGCTTCCTAGCCAATCAGGGAGGCGGGTCATGACATGCTGTCCAGCTTCCTGATTGGTCAGGAAGCCAGGCTGCCTAGCAAAAAGTGAAGCTGGCTACGTAGCCAAGCCGGGAGGCGGGTTATGGCCCGCCGCTCCGGCTTCCTGATTGGCCAGGAAGCCGACTCCATGCTCCCTTGCATCTCCCTCTGACCGGAAGTTCCAGTATCGGGGCATTTGGGCGAGTACGAGTTTGATATTTTCCGGCAGCCGTCCTTAAATCCTCCTTCAAAGAATATTTCTGTAAAGCAGACGGAATCGTGGGAAGACGAGAGTTTCCCTGAATATTTGATGACATTGTTCCGCATGCAGCTATATCAAATGATGTCATCCGATGACTAACTGAACGTCCCCGGCATCAAATTTATGTTACAAGGTTCTTTTTTTATTAGGCATCAGAAATGCAGCGCGGGGCGATTAATCCGCTCATATTCAGATATTTCTTTTCAGCGAGTAATGGAATCTGTCATTTTCCTTGTGCGGCCGTCAGACATCCATCATGTAGTGAGGAAATGACTGTATAATGGAAGAGAGGAAATTGACCACCCAGCACCGAACGTCTAATACAGGCTGAAGAAGAAGGATCACTCCTGAACAGTCCAGAGAACTTCACTTGTCTTACAGGAGCGCTCCGAATTATGTACTGAAGCACCTTATTAGACAGTGACATCACTGAGAATGCAGCCTATCCATTCACTAGAGCCCGGTGACATCACTGAGAATGCAGCCTATCCATTCACTAGAGCCCGGTGACATCACTGAGAATGCAGCCTATCCATTCACTAGAGACCAGTGACATCACTGAGAATGCAGTGTCCAGACATTCCCTATTGACCAGTGACAGCACTGAGAATGCAGCCTATCCATTCACTAGAGCCCGGTGACATCACTGAGAATGCAGCCTATCCATTCACTAGAGACCGCATACAGTCAACGTGGAGAGATAGCCAGGGGTGAGAGCAAGGAGAGAAAGCAAGGAGAGCCAGCCAGTGGTGAGAGCGAGGAGAGACAGCCAGGAGAGAGAGCAAGGAGAGACAGCCAGGGATGAGAGCGAGGAGAGACAGCCAGGAGAGAAAGCGAGGAGAGACAGCCAGGAGAGAAAGCGAGGAGAGAGAGACATCAGAGTGTGTCCTTCAAGACTTATCTGCTCCCTGTGTCTCGGACACCTCCTTGCTCCCCAAGTTCCAGCATCCCTCCATGTCCCGTGCCTCCTTCATGCACTCAAATTGGAACACCAGGACCCCGTGGTTTCCCCTGTCTACCTAAGATTGTGACATCTTGTGTCCAGGTTTCATTTGGCATACAAGACTCAAAGCCCGGACTGTCCAGGTGAATCCCGGACAGGCGGCAACCCTACTCTATGGTCCTGGCGGCAATAACAGAGTAGGGTGAGAGTGTGCACTTGGTCAAGTGAACCTATTGCTCTATCCTGATTGGGCAAAGCACAGGCTGACTCTATTTATACTTCATAGCCCTGTTCTAGGTATGGGCCCCTCTACCCTGAGCTCCGCCATAGCATTGCAGCAAGTCCGCTAGAGGTAAACAGCATGTGTGTCTATTGGGGGAGGACGGATTCGTGTCTGCGCACCAACTTCAGAGCTAAAGGTTGTCATTTGCATATTGAGCTCTCGCAGCAAGAAGATGAAGACGGGTCGGGTGGGGGCATCTCCCAGTCCTTGCTTTTCACTGAATAAACATCTATAATAATCTCTTCAGGATAAAGACTTATTTTCAGCAGTTGCTGTTTCATTGCTTAACCGCACTCCATTCATTCACATGCACGAGCCTTAAAGGAGAACTATGAGGTGAGTGCTTTTCACTCACCTCATACCGTGTTTCCCCGAAAATAAGACAGTGTCTTATATATTTTTTTCTACGAAAAAAGACACTAGGTCTTATTTTCGGGGGATGTCTTACCTGGCTTGGCTGCAGCTGTCCACTCTGTCGTCCAGGGAGCCACAGACAAGTTGGCGGGCGTGCGGGCGGGAGGGAGCTGCGGCTAGCGCTCTGATGCAGTCCAGGGAGCCGCTCTGGGTGCTCTGTCAGCCGATCCGAACTTCTTTGAAATCATTTGCAGGGTTGTTTTTGCAGCTACGCAAGCTTCTCCTGAATGACGCTGTGTCATTCCGCCTCCTGGGGCATAATAGTCTTTTTGGATGCATTCTAAATCAAGGTAAATCCGAGGTCAATTATTCCAGATTGTATAAATAGATGCAAATGGCGAAGTTTAGCATGCATGAAATCAGGGACTGAAAGGTGACTTTGTACAAGGAAAGAGACACCCAGGTATAGATGGAGAAAGGAGGCACTGAGGGGCAGCACAGGGGCTGATAGACGAATACAAGAATGAGATAAACGTGGGAACCCCACGGGAAGTCTCCGTAGGTATAGTAAAAGGGACATGGTGAAGATCCTCAAACACCTGGGGCACCATTGTAGGATGAAATGGTTGTGTGCTAGGGAGCACCTTACCCGGCCTTTTGGCTAAGATCAAGTGTAGTATCTGTTCTTATCAGTCTTATGGCTAGTCCGGGGCAATATTTTTGCACTCCTGTCAGCATGGTGCACTGGCACTTTAGTACTATTTATTGCACTCTATGCACGATGCACGATTGATTTTTTTGATTGAAATTTTACCTACAGATTGCTGAAGGTGCAGGTTCCTTCGGGGCCTTTTCCTGATGCTGGGAGGAGATTCTGTGCCCTCCACGGGGTTCTCTGTCTCCTCCCACCCAGGAGGTGGGTCTCTCTTCGGGAGAGCCCACTTGCCAAGTACTATGGGGGACCTGTTTCGGTCCCCAAAGGAAATGGTCCATCGGCCTTCGGGTTGGTGGACCAAAGTATCTCAACCCCTGTCAGGAGCCTTGCGCCCCAGGGGGTCGGGAAATGGGTCCCTTCTTTATTGTGCACGTTTTTGTGTGCTGTGATTTCACGGTTCACTTTTTTGTTCACAGGGGGAAGTTTGTTTAGACGCATGTCCACGGGCTTAAAAAAAAAAAAATTGTAGGCCCATTCACTTCTCGGCCTTTTGGCTAAGATCAAGTGTAGTATCTGTTTTTATCAGTTGTTGGAGGGGAAAGGTTACGGTTGCCTATGTAGAAAGGTGGATCGTTTCTGAGTACTCTCTGGCGTAATTGGTGGGTGTCAGATGGGGTACAGTCCCTCCCGGTTAGATTCTGGCCCAGTTATGCTGGGCTGTCACCGGTGGTAGGGATGGACCCCGGACGGCACTACCTTCTGATGGGAATGGATACGAAGCTTGATCGAGGCTGGAGGGTTGGGAGGCGGCAGAGCCCGTGGTGTTGTGCCCCCTGGGGGTGGCATCCCAGGGGTGCTCAGAAAGTCACTTGGGTATGGGACCCCACATTGACTCACTGTGCACTTGGTCACACACCACCTTGCAGTTTCTGCACATCGCCTCTTGGACAGGCCTTATGGCTAGTCCGGGGAAATATTTTTGCACTCCGGCCCCTAAGGCCTGTCAGCGTGGTGCACTGGCACTTTAGATTTATTTATGCACTACATGCACGATTGGCACGCTTTTTTAAATTTTTACCCACAGATGCGGAGAGTACGGGTACCTTCGGGGCCCATTCCTGATGTAGGGAGGAGATTCTGTGCCCTTATATAGGGTTCTCTGTCTCCTCCCACCTGGGGGGGGGGGGTCTCTCTTCGGGAGAGCCCCCCAACCTAGTACTTGTGGGACCTGTTTCAGCAGGTCCCCAAAGGATCGGGGTCCGCCTGCCTTTTGGGTAGGTGGGCCAAAGTATTCCTTGCCCCTGTCAGGAGTCTTGCGCCCCGGGCAGTCGGGAAATTGTGGCCCCTTCTTTATTGAAGGACCAAGCACCCTTGTGCACGTTTTTGTGTTGTGATTTCACGATTCACTTTTTTTGTTCACAGGGGATTCGTTTTCAAGCACGCTCCAAGCACGCACGCTTTAAAAAAATAAATTGTAGGCATTCCCGCTTCTCGGCCTTTTGGCTAAGATCATATGTAGTATCTGTTCTTATCAGTTTTCGGAGAGGAACAGCACCGTCCTGTAGGGGGGATGGTATCTATGAAGTGAAGGTGGGCGTCGAGAGGTTCTTTCTGAGGTGGAAACTTCTCGGCGCCGATGCCTCCTGATGGGAATGGGTGCTGCCCTTGTCTGGCCGGAGGGTTCAGGAGGCACAGAGGCCCGTGGTGCTGTGCCCCCTGGGGGTGGTGTCCCAGGGTGTGCCAGAAAATCACTTGGGAGTGGGACCCCACAGTGATTCACTGTCACTAGGTCACGGCACTTCTTGCATTATCTACACTACGCCTCCTAGGCAGGCCTTTTGGCTTGCCTGGGGCAATATTTTCTACTCTGGCCGAAAGGCATGTCAGCGTTATGCACTGTCACCTATTTATTTTATGCACGACTGAGCACCTTTGACTCCACAGAAGACGGAGGGCGCGGGTACCTTCGGGTGCCCGTCCTGAAGTTGGGGAGGAGATTCTGTAGCCTCTATTGGCTCCCCTGCCTCCTCCCACTTGGGGGTCTCTCTTAGAGAGAACAGCAAGAAGTTTTCCCAGCACACTCACCAGCCAGCATGCAAAAAAACTTGTCTCACCGCTAAGGTTAAAAGCAGAGGTTTAGATACACTTCTGCAGAAAATGTGAAAGCCGCACCGCCGCGCCAAGGCACCTCCATATAGTGCGGTCCTAACTCTAAACTATGAAAGTCTCCATCTTGGAGCACATGGGGCAAAAGATAAAATTGGGTGCAGGTTTGTCAGGAGGAAGCCCAACCTCCTTAAAGGCACAGGAACGCAACGGCGGGGGTCCCTTTTTGCTGTTGTACTGTATAAAGCCCTTCCATGTGCACCTTGCTCTCCTCAAGAGAGCCCCCACCCAGTACTCGTGGCTCCTACTTCGGTAGGGCCCTGAGGATCGGGGTCCGCGCCCCGGGGGGTTCAGGAATTCGAGGAACTTCCTCTTCGGAGGACCACAGCACCCTCGTGCACTTCTTTTTTTTTTTAGTGTGTGGTGATTTCACTATTCACTTTTTTGTTCACAGGGGTGAAGTTTGTCTTCTATGCATGCATCATGGACCCTAAAATTAGGCATTTCCAAAATGTGACCATGGACTTAGGACCTTGTTTACACAGTGACAACATTGGCAAGTTCTACATGCTACTTTACTCTGTTATAACTCACCACCAGCATTATAATAGTACTTCCCCTGGCAATAGAACGTCTCCCCCACCAGGAAACTATAGTATCCCCCATTCCTTTCCAACCAGACCACAATACGTTATCTATGTTCTCACTCACCTCAATCCAGCAATAACTTATATTGTACCCCAAGTCTGTAACCGATCCTATAGCATTCTCCTCCAGCCAACAATGAGTAATATACCCTCCCTGTAGTCAGTTTCCCCCGTCCCTCCCCAAGTCTTCCTTTTAACAGGTCCATGCATACTATCCAGTAGCCCCCCCCTAGGACTAGGCATGTGCCCTGGGTCTCCAGTCTATTGCCCTGGGCCTACATCACCATATTGGTTTGACTATTTCTCCTGAAGTGGTGGCCAGCTTTGCCCTCATGCTTCTTGTGTGCCACTATGGTGAATGTATATAGTGCTTGTACCACTATGTCCAAGATATAGTATATGTAGATATATGTAATTTGAAGGATTAATAATGGCACAGTCACCAAGGAATAAATTGAATATGTTCAGAACCAATGTGGCAGCATAGGTTTCCATTGAACACCCTGGAGACAACGAACCTTGGTGACAACGTCAGTTTGAGTCCTCCTAATTACATGCAATGTCTGAGCCCTGATGAAGGTTATCGAGCTCCTGAAACGTGTTGGTTGTTTTATGTTCTGAATAAACAAGTGATTTTGGACTCTTGTATCGTTTTGGCCTGGCTCTCTCAGTAGACTTTTTGCACCTAGATCTCAAACCTTGGGTCCCCTAGTTAAGGAGCACCCTGGTCTTGTTGAGAGTGGCCTCACCGGCACCAGTGCGCTCCATATGAAGTTGATTGAGTTTCTTTAGGCGTTAACTACTAATAAGTGGAATCCAGAGCCTCCGATATACATAAACAGGTTTTGAATTCTGTCTTTGTCCTCGCTGGTCACCAGACAGAAAGTGGAATTTTACATTTGTCACCAGAAGAGATTTGGGGTCAACCTTCCACTAGGGAGACCTTAGAGAGGACCTCCTCCCACTTCTAAGCGATTTTCTCTCATTTTCTGTTGCATCTCCAGGACAGGAAGTGATATCTCTCCAACAGGACCTTTTTTTTTCTTCTGCTGATGTTATTGAGACAGGAAGTGAGGGAAAATCTCTCCAATGGGTACACAGATGCCAAGAAAAACCCAACATGGGTCCTAGCACTTCCCCAATGCCCTCTGAAATGTCAAAATTGAAAGTCACAGCTTTGGCTGGTGTTCTGCTTGGACCGTGATGAATATTTTCCTAATCTTCTACAGGAAATTACCATCCAGCAGGTCATGGCACACTTGGACTCCTTACGGAAAGACATGGTGATTCTGGAGAAAAGTGAATTTGCCACCCTCCGGGCTGAAAACGAGGTAATCGTAATTCCCGTGTTCAGAATAAACATGTGTAAAGGAACACGTGTCCTTCTTCTCCATCTCTCCATTCATCATCATCATTGTCGTCTCATTACCTCTTCTGAAACAACCCAACAGAGAGAGAGAGAGAGAGAGCGCAGTATATTGGCATTTGCTGGTGGGAGGAGTTGGGAGCTCAGATACATGTTACCACTGGAGGCCTTGATTTTATAAAGTTGTAAATTCCCAGCATGCACTATCCTGTTATGACATCAGCACTGTAATAGGAATACATAGTAGAGTTGACTTTCATAATACAATCAAAGCTTAGTTGAAAAAATCCCTTTTATGTAGTGAGCGCTGCCTTCTGTCTGTCCATCACTTCCAACAACTTCCTGGACTCCCAGTGTGCTTTGTGTCTCTTTCCCTGCTGCTTGATGTGATGCAATCTCCATTTCACAAGACTTCATATCCCATCATGCATTGCTTCCAGCAAGCAATGACAATGTTACATTGTTCAGACTTTGAGTTGTAGTTTGTTTTGTAATTTGTAGTCTTCTGGGTACAGGGCTAATCATGATGATGAATATATGCCAGCCGTGTAGCAATGTGCCATTCTTGGGAACACAAGGGGGAGGATACAGAGAGTTTAGAATCAAGTGACATTAAGGAGTAGCTGATGCTTGGAACAGTGGGTAGTAGGGCGGCAGCTAACTATTATTTTCATAATCGATTAGATGCCCGATAATTTTTTTCAACTAATCGATTGGTTGTATTAAAAACAAAATTCTATCTCCCTCAAACCAACTAATCGATAATGAGAACAGTTGCCAACTAGTCTCATAATCGATTTATTATTGATTTAATCGATTAGTTGTTACAGCCCTAGCGGGTAATGTGTCAATCAGCAGTTGGTGGCTGATGTATAAGGGTTTTGCCCGGCGTATGGATAGGTGAATGCAGTTTGCATGGCATTTCAACCACTAGATGGTGCTGAGGAGCACGGGAAATTCCTATGCTCCTCTAGTTCCATCTAGTGGCTGCAGTGCCATGCAAATGGCATTCACCTATCTATACGCCGGGCGAAGTCTTTATACATCAGCCGCTAAGGAAATTTAAACATTCTTGGGACAAATCTTGATCTATATACAAAATGATTCCTATACAGAGAATTGATCATGTCAAATGTAAAGCCTAAACGAGGAGGACGTCCCAGTAGCCTCTACATCAGGTGTAGGGAATTTAAATTCAAGGAGGTCTGGTGAGTAAAATTTTCATTGAGCAGAGGTCTGAATCACGGGGGGGGACCATCACTCAGTCCATGTCTGTACTGCGGTCCTTCATTTAGGATGCACTGACATCAGCAGTTGCACTGGAATGTACGGCTGCTGGTGTGTGTTCCCAAACACAGTGC